CTTTTTTAATCACAGGATCGAGAATGAGACATTTTTTCGGATGCTATTTGTACTGAAAAGCATGCCAATGACCTTCAAACGGCTTCTCGACGCATTCTTTGGTCTCGACCTGCAGCTGATAATTTTCGGTGACCTTGACATTATAATAATAACGGATGACTTTGCCGGACTATTGGATTACAGGTTCAGGAAATGGTGTTTGTCACGCGGTACTTTAAAGTCTTACAAAAAATCAAGATCACAGTAAATAGAGATGAAAAAATGTAATATATCTACTCTTCAAGACCAGTAGAATGTCAAAAAAATTTACTGGTCAGTAAGTTGTTGTGTGAATAATTGTAGTAAAGCGAAAATTACCACTAATTTTTAATACGGAAAATCATAGAATTTTTAAATGTCATAACGAAAAATTTATGTTATTTCGCGTAGTCTTGTCATTTAATTTGCAGAAAGTTATTCCTTAGAGTTTTGATTAAAACATAATACAAAAAATTAGCTGCTCCAATTTACTCACTTTTGTTATTTTTAAGTTCAAACTGTAAAAATGCATGGGATCCGTCACACAGGTAAATATAAAGTTAAAAAGTGAAAGTTAGAAGCTTTGAATGAAATTTTTTTGTTAAATCTTACTGGAATTCTCAAGCAGCCAAGAAATTTATGTAGGGGAATAAACATTTGTATACGTTTACGTGCGTAAATATTACTTGGCGAAAAAAGACAAAGGTAAAAAAAGATAAAAAAAAATAAAGCATATGACAGACATGCCGTAAATCACCGATGAGCTAAGTGGGTATTTCAAATTACTTTTTTTAACACTGTTACGAGATGTTGCGCGATGTAAAGTTGCGAAGCGGAAGCTCTGGACTTCAACTAGGTTGGTGTTGTCCGAAGAATATAGCAACATTCGTAATATTAATTTGCGCGCAACACAATAAATATGTGCATTTGCAATTTGAATAACATTGTAAATGCCAAATGAATTATACATTCAGAAATAATAGCGTTAATACAAATATCTATTTGTGGATGTGTGTGTGTGTGTGTGCGTGTGTGTGTGTGTGTACCTCTCGCACGGGAGATCAACGATATCGTAGCGCTTTATTGCTACACGGGCAGACGAAGGTGGGCCAACAAAGGCCGCAGCCCATTACAGAAAATCGACTGGTGATAGGTAGTTACAGGCACTGTTGTTCCTCTATGCCGTTTAAGAAGTTTGAGACTAACTTGCGGAAACCATTGTGTTTAATGCATGGCTTTTAAGACTCATGAAGATCAACATAACACTTTTACAAGCATTTGATACATTTTTATTATTATTTAGTACTAGATTAATAATTCAAATCGTATAAAGCAGAATGGCAGAAAAAAAGAACCGCCTAAAATTCAATATTTAGAGGACGAAATTGAAAAACTGAACGTCTGGATTTAGAATTTAATTGATCGCCGTGAAAATTTTTTGAATACTCTACGGCATACTCATGAACGCTCTAGAGATGTTAACTACTCTTAATATATTAAAAAATAAGTTTGATAAGAGGATAATTAAACACTGTATATTTACATAGTGTAAGCGTCAAATTGAACATCAACGTCGAGCAGAACAAAGAGATCGCATGTACCGCAACGAAAGAACCGCAGGAACTGCATGGCTCCAACGCAAATAAAGCTATTAGCCCACGAGCCTCGACATGATTCTCTTTATTATATAGAGCAGACCCAACGTACGCAGCTCCAACATTCGATTTCGAAGAACGCGTCCAACATTGTTAGTCGAATATTTGATGATCGGACGTCTGATGTACCAAGTTTAACTTGAAAAAAAAAATCATTAGAAAATTAATTCATTTTCAAATTGGTGTTATTAGCAGTCAATATCAAGTTCGACAATGAAAATGAGAGAGCGAAATAGAAAAAAACTAAGTGAAAGTAGCAGAAGGGGGACGTGGAACTAGTCCACGAGTCTCGAATCCTAAAACCGTACTTATAGATGTGCTCTGTATCAAAGCTTGAACTGGATTAACTGCTCTGTAGCCTCCCATTTCCTTATATATCTAAAGCAGTCATCAATGACTGTCATGAATAACCCTCATGAATGACTGTCATTAATGACAGCTTTCGGTATATAAGAAAATGGGAAGCAGTCGAGCACCTACTCCAGTCCAAGCTTCCATACAGAGCTCATCTCTAGGTAAGTATTCGAAAGTAGAGACTTAGAGCGAGCAACTCTGTTCTCAAGTGATGAACGTCAAACTCCATCCTAAACCACCAAGATTAACGAGTGCCACGAGTAGTAGGCACACTTGAACGCTAACGTCTCCAACGTAATACCGGGAGATGTATGGCCAGAGCACAATCTGCTGTAGCAATTTTTCTAATCGATCTGGTGCTACCAGAGTAGATTTTGCTACAACATCAAGGCAGAGAAAACAACTCTGATGAGTGCGGGCAACCCTAACGGCATCCTTCTCAGTGTTTTGTCCTAACGGTATACCCGCAGAAAAAATAAGTATATAGATACGTAAATCGGATGGAAAGGGGGGTACCACAATGAAGCGTTGGAGGAGCTTAATTTATTGCGATGAGGAAAGCTGGATTACTTTCTGACTTACAACGACTAGACGGTGACTTCGGTGCGAGTGCGGGAAAAGAGAGCTGCGTGCGGCAATTCATACAGCTGTATAAAGTGGCTGTATATATAACTATAGCAGGGACGGCAAAAAGTTTTGTTACAATTTTTTCGGTCCAGCCCCTGTTTGCTACAAAACTCATAACGCAAGAAAACAAACTTCGTTAACAAAAAAAAAAGTCATAGCTGAAAGTTATGAGAAGCATCCATACCTGAGACGGGCCAAAAAATTACTTATAGGTATCTGAGGCATAATGTTTTAATTTTTCTTGTATCTGCGATTTAGTCTTCGTACTTTTCATGTTTTAAGATAATAAGAGAAATTTACGGTAAACACTCACTTTCATCTGGCACTGTCCTGCTCTTCTGTTCCTGCATCTGGTTTATCGCATTTAAAAGGGGTTTCTGGGTATCAACTGTTTCTGAGAAAGGAAACAACTCGCGAAAATAAAATACCAAAATGCCTACTCTTAAGAAATCCTTTTTTTTCACAGTCAAAAACTTTCTAATATACTTGAAGTCACTTGGTGGCATCTGAAGTTACGCTACGCTTTGTTCCCGATGTACACACTACCTGTTACATTTGCCAAAATCTCTGACCCTGACGATTTTTTTTCACGGGAACCCTCGTGAACTACACAATCCTTTTATTCTTGATCTCTAATAAACGTTCATAAGTTATCGTTATTTATTTTATACATGATAAGTATTTTTTGTCATAAATTTTTCAATATAACTCTATTAACTTAATATTTTATGCTATACATTATAATTGTATATATATATATATATATAGCCAATGTTTACCAAAAAGCGAATGAAACATCGTTCCGACCGGGATTCCGTAGACCCCTCACGGCTGTTTTTTTTTGTATCATCGTACACAATCATAATTTTTCTCTTAGCCATAAGCATTGCTATAAAAATTTTTTTCCGTAGCCGTCTTTGCGGTTGTTATCCTTGCCGTAGTTTCTACAAAAGTTCTGATCTGTTAATCGAGAAAGTTTCCTTTTTGTTGGTAATTGTTGCACACCTGTTGATCTTTGTAAACTATTTTTCTCTTTTTGGCATCCTTCACTGTCGTACGTTTTTTTTGTTTGCTGGTGAGAAAAATCTTGCACAAGTTACCTCCAAATCAGGGGAGCCGTGTCGGATTCCTACCTGCTGAAAACATCAGCCGAGACGTGTAACACAGAGCGAATCCTTGATTTTTAGTTGAAAACTGTCCATGAGGTGGGATTTGATAACAATAATAAGATAGCGCGGGAAGCCAAAACTTCCACAGTGTAATCAGTCACTCTAAGAAGATGGTAATTCACGTGCCATGACGTTCCCTAAAGTCACACTGTGGGACTGGAATGGCGTCGTTTGTTTTGACTACGATCTCAAGATGATTTAAAATTACTGCTTCTCACCCTTCGGTTGAAGAGAGTGGTTTACCCGGTTTAGGTATAGATATTACGATGAATTTTTTCTATGCTGGAGAGGAAGTATCACATGTTATTTACTTCTTTGGCAGAATTTGCGGAATTGTGTTGCGGATTACGTCTCCGCCTGGAGCTTTGATGTTTCCCCGTTCATTCGCACCATGTCCACGTAAATACGTAGATACTTGATGTTTTGGAGAGATTGGATAATATTTATTATCTCAGCTGATTAAGTTGGCAAAAACCGATTACACTTTTAACATCGACTGTTGAGTGGGTCTTTCAAACTATGAATGAAACATGTAAGGACGGCGAGTTTCATAATGTTACATTATCGAAAGTTTTTGTTGGCGAGGGAAACCAGAAGGAGCACATAAGGGTATCTTTGGCGGACCTAGGTAGTTCTCTCGCTTTCGCGTATCTACGTGTCTCACTTGACTCCCTTGCCTTAACTTATTCTCTCCTTGGCTGCCAATCTATTTATCACTCTCTTTCCCAGTAAGTATTTACTTTCTGGACTTACGTTTCAGACTCCAGCTGGAAGGGGTGCACGTGCAGTACGAACGCGGTCGGATAATTAAACACAGCTTCCATCTCGTCATCTCGAACAAACCACTTCGAAGGACCATTTGATTTCATGTGAAAACACACCTCCGATTCCTCTAGAAAGTATATCTGTAAATACATAGTGAATATAGGTATACATACTTTTTTAAGGAATTGGACCGACTGACGGACCGATCGCGACCGACCGACTAGCCGACTACAAAAAAAAACGTACCATGTACCATGGGCCAATAGCCTATCGATGCTAGACAGCGTTCAGTCGGGGTGCTTCGTGTGAATGCCATAAGGGTAAATCCATAGTGTGCATACGTGCACTGTATACGTGTATACTACTGGTGTTCAAAGCGAGGTGAGTACAGCAGCGCAAACAAGATAGCCATTGTAATGTTAGTTGCCCATGTACGAAGTAAGATAGCATTAGACATCAGTAGCTGAGAATACAAAGTACATTTATCTGTAACGGAAAATATTCTGTATATTCTCTGGGATTAGGCAGATATACATTGTACATGCACGCAGTCACGCATCGATATACATTTTAAGAAAATTAGAGGCATCGGCCACGACGACTGAGTTGGATACGCGATAATTATTGGGCATTGTGTGCAAGCAACATTTCACTCTTATTAAAGTCATAATTAATTAGCAACACAACATTAGCACAGCTTAGCTCTATCAGCGATAAGAGATACGTCGGCGGTGACAAAGGGCCAACATGTCGATAGTCAAAGAATTTAGTTAGTATACGGCTGCCACCTTCTCCGAGAAGGTAGTCAAGTACGTACGGACAAAAGTGATTTTGGGTTCGCATCAATAGTACAATTATTAATAGCGCTGTCTCAACCATCTCAAACTACAAGCATCGACACTGCTAGCGACAATCTTCCCCGTGCCCAACATCTGCTCCGTCCTGCAATATTCACCGTGAGTAATTAAATTATTGTACATTATCTAAAATTTTGCTGTCCTGTTCTACTTAAAATTTCTTATCAGGCTTTTTTTGATTCATATTTTTATTTCTCCATCTAATTACATGTGCACACCCCTATATTCTTTCTTTCCCGCATTTTGTTAGACCTTTTGGTGGTCCCCATCATACATTATCCAAATAATATAATTACAGTTTATTGGTCTTTTAAAATCAAGTTGTAAAACCTATAACTTCCCAGGTCTTGGTCATCGGTTGCCATCGAGTAGTACGAATGGTAAAAATTAATCCTTGAACAAGTAATGTGCATCAAAAGGCAAATATGTACTTATTTAATTTCAGTAGATACCAAAGTGCCAGAGTAATATTACTTCTGATACGTTTTATTGGTACATGTTGCACATATGCGCATATTTATTCAATATTTACACTTCAAAATGTGTACTTTCATGCAAGATGTAAGTATATATATATAATACGCTCTTGGTCTTTCTCTCTTCTGCTCAGCTCCCACATGCAGCTCACACAGACCCAACCTCACGCACACAGAAACATGTACTGTAAATGTAAAGGAAGTACAGTTTCACAGTTGTGAACGGCCCTTATGTGGGCACTTTAGCATTAGCTGTTCCAGTTGGCGTTTTGGCTCTGCCATATTCCTGGGCTTTCCTATTCGTCAGGTAAACAAAGTACGAACGACACCCGGGTCAGGCTTTACATAAGTTCACACCTTCTGAAAGATAGGTACCGTCTGGTATATGACCAAGTGCGCCAAGTGCTGCACGGCTTCTTCGAGGCACAACGGAGCCGTTACAATACGCGCATTCCTCTTGCTTTCGCTCGCGCGCCTCTCTCTCTCTCTCTCTCTCTTTCTCTCTCTATAAATATATATATATATCTCGCTATTGCTTCTTTTGCAATTTTTTTCCGTTTCTTGAATCTTGTGCCAAGCGGTGTGTGCGCGATTCGCTTTCCGTAATTCCGTGGTAGCAGCAACAACGACGACCAACCGGAGTTGCTAGCAGCAGCGTCCCTTAACTGCTGACGTTTACTCCAGTAAGAGGCTCTCTAGGTGCTTTATCCGGAGCCTCGCGATTTCTGTGCACAGTTGAGCTACGGTTTGCCTTTTTTGCTTGAAATTTAATGACTCTTAACCTGCAGAAGTCCATAAACTGTTGCCTTACTACTACTGACGTCTTCTCCTGGAGTCAAGGTATAACTTGAAATTTTTATTTTCTACAGCTGCAAGTGTAGCCAATTGATGTGTTTTCTTATTTTTATTGTATCATTTTATTGGTTGCTACAGGGAAAGTGAACAATAGAATGATGAGCAGTATTTAAATAAAGGACAGTGGTACCACTTTTTTCTCTCGAATTTTCTTGGCTTCTTGCATCTCAACTCCAAAATATTTTGATTTAAGCTATTGTAACTTGTACTTTGCTTACCATCTGTTTTCTTTGCAACTATTTGTTTTTCATAGCAAAAATGTCTGCACCAAGGATTTTAAATAAAAAGAAAATTAAAGCTAGTATTGACTTAGTTTAGAAACTTAAATTGTGAGGGGTAGCAGGAATAGAATGTAAATATTAGTTTCTAAAATTTCTTGTATTTTTCTGCTGCTTCATATTTCATAGTATTAAATGTTACTCAGGTTGTTTGTATGTTAAATTTTAACTAAAACCTACTTTTGAAAATCCAACATCTTCTAGTAAATATGTTATTAGAATATAATTGATGGGTCTTTTACACTAAGCTTGAGTTTCAGAAATGTTAGTCCCACTTTAGTTTACTGCTATGGTATAGCAAATTTCAGTTTACGTAATAAAAATTTTTAAAATATATACTTCTGTTGTTTGTGTATGCAAGTTTAATTCCATCTCTGTGTTAGTAATATGAGGAATATGAATAAGTACAAGTAAATTTGAATAAAGTAGTTCAAAAATTTTTGCAAGCAGTTTTACGATTATTAAATGTTTTACATAATTTAAAGTAGTTTACGTTTATCACATCGTAGAATACCATGAAACATTGAATTACTTATAAGGGCTATAAAACCACTGCAACCAATTAAATATGGGCTCTGGGATAAATCAATGAGAAAAGTCACGTAAAAAAAATATATTTTTCAACGTAGTCTTTAATTCACAGCCGAAAATATTATACATTAATTACATTTAGATAGTAGTAAAAAAATGAATAGCACAAAGTTCATGCAATTCTAAATTATGTATTTGGGTTTGCTTTTTTCACAAATATCACGCTAAAACTTGTCCTAATCTCTAGAAATAGCTATCTATCTCTCTCACTCTTGCGGTACTCATCCAATCACATTTTCACCGATTTAACCTTACGTATTTAAATATTTTTGAGAACGGAATAGTTTTTGAATCAGGACACTAAGGGATTTGTAAAATTGTGCATACAAATACGTTAGTGAAGATATATTCTGTAAAGTTTTAGTATAAATAATATGTGTTGTCATATTAGCTGAAAACGCCGGTAATTTGAATAGTAATCAATGAAAACTATGCATATAATCTAATAAATAAAAAATTGTCATTTTAAATTACTTAATAAGCACAATTTTTTTGGAAGTTTTGTTGAAAAAGTACAAAATAAGTTTAAAAAATACATAACCTTCTAAGTAATGATACGACGAAAACAAATAGTACGTTGTGTTAAAATATCAATGATGTACCTAGTTGTTTTTTAATTAACAATAAAACTAAAGTTATCTACTATACCGACACAGCCCATATCGTTATGTCTGTTTGGCTCGAAAAGATTTTTCAATATTTATCCCAACTGATCCCAATTGATTATTTGTTCGGAATGGGTCTAAGAATAAAAAGCAATTTTTTATTTCTCGAAAAAATTAATTTTTATGATTTATTTTTAAAAAATTTATCCAAACGATTTCCGACCACATTTTCGCCTCGCAAACTGTACTTCCCCATACTGTAGTACATTTTAAACAAGATGGTGCAAAAAAATTGCGGGTGAATTTATTTTTCCGGTCTATTCCCCGCTAGGTCGCTGTCCTAAAAAAAATTTCTTAGAAACAAGAAAGTATTGACCAGAATAGTTTCGAGTAAACAATCTGTTGAAATTATGTTTTTTGTACTTAAAGAAAATACTTGTTTTAAACAAAACAATGTTTTTAATGTAAAAAAAAAATATTATTGGTGTACGTATTATTTAGTTTAAAAAAAATATTTACTTGGCACAGTTTTCGTAAATATTCTAAAAAAAAAAAATTTCTTTCGTGTAATTCGAACATTGTGTATTTTTTCAACACCCAACTCAATTACATGCTTATACTTTACTTTTTACGCTGAAAGTCAAACGTAAGATGCTAAGGTCTCAAAGAAAGTACATGGCTGGGTAAGCTTGAAATTGTATCTATAGATATTAACCTCTCTTCTGGGTTGATCACAGAAGTCGGTGGGCGCCCTGGCCCGTTGCGGACAACGATATTTTTTCTACAGGGGCGCAATCAGCGTCCAAATGTAAAGAATAAAAAAAAAAAAAAAAAAAAAAAAAAAAAAAAAAAAAAAAAAAAAAAANTCTATTTTTCATAGCTATAAATATACCCCTCGTGTATGTGAAAAAAATACAAACACATAACGTTGTTCAAATGTTGGTGTTAGTATTTCAGCACTTATTTGTGGAGCTTTATAGCTTGACTCTTTGGTTGCACCAGGACAAAATTTTTATGTAGGAAAAATTTCGCATATGGACTTCTTTTTCAGATTTTTTTCCCCACTCTTGCTTTACATCAGTGCATGTTGCAGTTAGAATATGGCATTCTTCAGTTTTATACCACAATAAACATATCTTTTTTTTTTTTTTTTAATTATAGTGCTCTACGTCCGGCTCCTATAAAGGGCACTACTCAGGGCACTTAGCACTTGGGAGAAGGAAGGAAAGAGGGATGGAAAGCCTCTCATTACTGGGAGGGGGGTAGGGGGAATTAGGCAATTTTGCTGCGAGGAGGTCGCCTAAACCCTCCTCGAGGAGCATTGCGTGATGAAAAAGCACATGTGAAAAATCACAGAGGTACTTGCTCGGAAAGTCGCACTGGCCGGGAATCGAACCGCAGTCTCCCGTGTTCCGACCCACGACCTGGCCGATAGAGCCACCGGGCGCTCAATAAATATATCTAAGCAATCGTAGATGAGGTTTCCAAACTAGTGTATGTAAATTAAAATTAAAAATCTGTATGTTCCATCTAGCCCACCTTTACAAGTACAAACACAGTGTAGTTATTTTTTTTATTTATTTATTTAGTTTATTTTATTTTTTTCACTTATTACAACAATTTTTACTTCATGAGGAGCTCCACATAGACCACCGGTTTTACAAACAAGAGAGACTATTTGAATCTTGTTTTTAGTTTTGGAGATAATACCGCAATATAAAACATGAATTTTTTCTCCTTCGATAAGCTTTTCTACCGTCACCTACACAATTAATTAAATCGGAAAAAAATTGAATAAGACATGTTTTGAGACTGATCCGTCGATCGTGTGATACATTTCAACTCATGTCTTGCGGCCTAGTAGGGTACCTCATTTGTCTACCAAAGAGGCGATAGTAGTGGGTCAACATGACGAATTAATTTTATATTGAAAATGAATGATTTATAAGTAGTCCATGATACTCAGAGAGTAGAGCACGAGACAGTTGAAATCGTTGATGGTGACAGTTGAGGATGATTCTAATTATGTTATATATGCAGGCATAGATAATGTTACTGGTAGCGACAGTGACTACATTCGAACACCCTAAAACACGAAAAGTGTAAAATATCCATTGTTATTTAGGCGTGTATTTTACATAATACGAAAAATATTTCTATAATTTTGTTTTAGAATCATGTACTGAATAACAAATTTTGTTGCAAAAATATTATTACTAATAATAAAATGGTATTATAAAACAAAATGAGTTTATCATCTTACGAGCAGGTGTCTAAATGCATGCAATCCACCGTTCAGATAACAGTGCACTTGTATAATACAAAGTATTAAAGTATATTTTTTTATTGTTGTTGATGTATGTAAAAATTATTAACTCACATAAATTAATAAGAAATACTCTGCAGTATTGGAAAACTATTGTTAATACACGTTATCACAATCATTTTTTTAAATTTGTATAAAAATATACTTTATAAAGTGAAATTGGTTGCAACACGGTAAAATGCAAAACGTCAAAATTATATTGATTTGTATACATTGCAAAATTAAATTTTATAAAGAATCGGTGTCCAAATTAAAAAAAAAAAATTTTTCCCTCATATTGAACTTCTTAGTATTCTTAAACAAATGTTTGGGTAACTTTGGTGCATTGAAAGGAAAAAACTATATTTCATCGAAACTGTCCCTACAAAAATGACCGTGCTAACGGTTATCGTAGGACAAAGCGACATATACGACTTTTTACCTAATTTAGTCCAACTTTACCGTGATGCACGGAAAAATCGTCGGATGCCCAACAAAATTTTCCCTCGCCGCTCTCACCTATGTAGATAAATTGTTGCACTGACATGCCAACGCGCACATTCAGTCAAAGAAAGTCTGTTATAAATTATCTAAGATAACATTTTCTTCGTACTGCATTGTTCAAATGGGTCTCAAAAACACGTGAATGCATTTTCAGGTTATAATTTCGAATGAAAAATGTTTAGGAAGCTATTTTGCGTTCAATGTATATAACCGAGTCAGTGCTTCAGAAGGCGTTTAAATTGAACCGGAGTACAAACATTTCTTAAACCATTATTTGCTTTAAAATCATTGGGGAACGCGCATTTTGAAGCTTATATTTAAACATAAAATAAGAAGCCAAAAACTTATATCTCTAGTTATAAAAATCCAGTCAGTCTATTGTAATCAGTAAAAATTTTAAATAGAAAAATGTTGTTTGTGACCTCGAGTTCTCAATTAAAAAAACGATTGGATTTGTATGGCTTATCACTTCCCACTTAATAGTCTAGTGATTACAACAGGTATCGACTCGCTGATACCTTGAAATATTGCCTTTGTGCTTCTCCTTATCATCTACCTAAAATAAAATGATCATAATAATGAATTTCAACTAACAAAGAAAAATCTTTGAAAAAAAAAAAAAAAAAAAAAAAACACACACGATGATATAGTGAACGCACTTGAGGTAACCGCAGCCACGAATGATTCCAAACTTAATAGTACTTAACTAAAGATAGGTGTACAATATTTCGACAAATTGCATAAAATAGTTCAAGATACCTAGTTCTTTATTCGCCTTATTAAGTGATCATGGTATATATAACAGCGCTATATGGTTTGAAAGGAAGTAATTCCGCTTAACCAAAGATTGTAGTTACAACGATTTGCCATTAAACATACACGTAAACAGAAACTCCAAAATTAAGTTTTCACTTTAAATGAACAGGCAAAAGCTTAGACGCGTCCCTCGTATGGTGTGCTGCTGCAATAATAATTAAAATTTACACGAGAAATAATTTTTCATAGTATACCGGATAATAGTACAGTATTTGTTAACAATGAGCGGAGGCTTGCAACATGATAACACTGAGAAGAAAAAGCTAGAATTTTCATCGAGATTGTCCCTAAAAAAATTAGCGTGCTTATGGTAATGATGATATCGACATCGCGGGACTTTTTACCTGACTCAGTCAATTTTTACTGTTATTTTCAGCAAAAATCACCGGGCGCCCAACAAAATTTACTCTCACCTAGGTGAATTTTTTTTTTTGTATTTAAGGGGCACCTGTATAGAAAGATTGTTGCATTGTGGCATCATATCGTCCGTACTCAAGAGATATATCATGAAATGATTTGAAAAAAATTACACACGTGTCTCATCTATACAACAGTATTCGTCCGATAATCCAAGACATTATCATTCAAGCAAAAATAACTCTAGCCTAAAAAAAATGCAACGCGCACATTCAGTCAAAGAAAGTCTGTTATGAAATTTCAAAATTAACATTTTTCTTAGTATTGCAGTATTTCATGAAATTTTTCGAAACATCGTACCTATCTTTATTGAAGTACTATTAAGTTTCGAATCATCCGTGGTTCAGTATATCAGCGATAGCTTCTTCTTCGTGGATTTTTTTCTCTTCATTAGTTGAAATTCATTATTATGATCATTTTATTTTAGGTAGATGATAAGGAGAAGCACAAAGGCAATATTTCAAGGTATCAGCGAGTCGATACCTGTTGTAATCACTAGACTATTAAGTGGGAAGTGATAAGCCATACAAATCCAATCGTTTTTTTAATTGAGAACTCGAGGTCACAAACAACATTTTTCTATTTAAAATTTTTACTGATTACAATAGACTGACTGGATTTTTATAACTAGAGATATAAGTTTCTTATTTTATGTTTTAATTTAAGCTTCAAAATGCGCGTTCCCCAATGATTTTGAAGCAAATAAAGGTTCAAGTAATTTTTGTACTTTGGTTTAAATGTGTTGGTACTATTCTCTTTGAGACCGGAAGTTATTGCTCGCTGTTGAAAGTTCGTTAAAATATTGTAAAATAAATGCATCAGTGGCTGAATGCTCTAGAGGTTTTAGAAGCTATTAATCAAACATAACATATAATTTTTCTAATTTTTCGGTATATTTTAGATATTCACTAGCACTGTAGTTGTATTTATCTTTTAAAACAAGAATTAGTTGTAAACGAGTTCTTATCGTGAATTGTTTGCAATTCCTATACATTACGGTGTACCAAAAAAAATTAACATGTCCCAGTACCTAGAACTGGGAGTACCAATAGAAAGTACCACTTTTGTATGATTAAAAAAAAAAAATTTTAATCGACTCATACGTTTTCTCTAGTCAATTGAGCTTCAAATTGATGAAAAAATATTTAAACTTTCTGTTGTACTAGTATTTACTAGTGAAGTACAATTTTTTTACAACATCAAAATACTTATTTTCCGAAACGTCTTTTTCTCTTCATACTTTTTATTGAAAACTTTTAAACAAGATAATGTACCGTGGTCAGTAATAGCCCCACTTTCTGGCCTAGGTATACGTAATTCACTATTATTTATTGTCTAACTTATTCCCTGCAACTACTCTTTCTAAATTTTGTTCTTTTAGTTGTCCATATTATGGATTTATTGCAATCCCAATTAATTTAAATGACCTGTTAAAAATGATATTTGCATAAGCTGGTGTAAGATTTGAACAGCTAAATGACGTTTTATTGTAACTTGTTTTTTATTTTTATTTGCGAAAAAATGTAGTACAAGCTGTAGAATTCATAAAAAAAGATGCAATTATGCTGTGTTTTTCGAATACACAGTGTTTATAACTTATTTTTTATTATATGAGTACCTGAAATTTTCAATGGTATATATTGCAATGTGGTGATAAATAAAATGAAGCATCATAAAATTTCAAATTTTCTTTATTTTTTAATTATTCATTTAACAGTTTTACACCTGTTCAATTTAAATAATACATTTACTTTTTAGTTTTTCATACAATGTTTGATTAAATTAAATAGTACATCATGTAACATGTTCGAAGATTGTTTCTCACATGGGTTTGATATTACGTTTAAGGGTATTTTTTATACAATGAAACAAAAACTAACATTTTAGTTAAAGTATTTGCAAAAATTTTTATCCTTAGCACAATATAATTTCATTATAAATGTTAAATAATAAAATATTTGAATTAGAAAACTCATTTTATTCTGAATAGATAAGCATCTCAGAATATACAAGTTACACTGTATTATCGAAGGATGAAATTCTCACTGCAAACAATTTAAACATATTAAATAAATATGAAATGCCAGTCCAACTATACAGTAAAATTTATCTTTGTTTTTTCATCCAATATGCCTACTTGTAATTAAGTACACACAAGATTTAAAAATAGACAATGTGAAATGAAAAAAAAATCAAGATTCTTGAAAATTCTCGAAAACGTTTTCATATGCCTGTGTTTTCAAGGGTCTGGGATCATGCTGGGCCAAGTTATAAGCGATTTTATATAGCAAAGTGATATTTTCATGTTTGGTTAATTTGTTTATAACCTTCTTATTTGCCATATTCTGGAATTGAATAAAGTTAAAATATTTATCAAATATCGTTAATAGCCGCTCTGAGCGGCGGCTGGTTTTTATTTTCCTCATTTTGTTAAGGTACGGGGCCCCTTGACACCACTTATTCGCCCTTGGCTGGCCGCTAACTCTGGCCGCCAATTTCAGGTTCATCGTTTTCATCAGTTAAAGTTTTAGCTTTCAATGAAAGTAGGAGACATGAATTGTTATTAGAGGTTTAAAAAATGTTCCATTAGGAAGTTGAAACATTTGTTGAACATTTTATGTACTGCATACAGACAAGGTACGAGTTAAAAACCGTTAAAGTTATCGTACAAGTCAACATACACCAAAAATCTGGTCTCTAGTTTACAAAGAGACTGAAAAATTAATAGATACAAGGAAGATGAATAAATAATTTAACTTTTTTTTTATAGTATAAATACTGAGTTATGATTTTTTATTCCAGCGCTGTTCGAGTGAGACAGGAACATGGTGTCCACACGGCAGTCGAGCAACAGCAGTACAAACGTCGAGGCTTCCTTGCTGGAACTTGGGAAAAATTATGATGCTGGGCCTTCTGGCACGTCGCGACGGAGCCAACAACAGCAGCAGCATCCGCAACAACCGGCCAACGGTGTGTTTTCAACGACCGGTGTTCTTGTACCCGAGGAAGAAAGTAGTTGTAACAACAGTAGCAACAATTACATCGTTAACCTCCTTGACTTGCCGGTGGAGATTATTCAAAAAATTTTGAGTTATATGGGCTACAACACAATAGCCCATCTACGTCTGGTAAGTAAAACACTTTTTTCACTGCACTTTTTCCACTCCGGACATGAAATCATCATCATAATCACTGCTGTTTTTTTGTACTGTTGTCAACAGATATGCCACCAAATGGACAAAATTTGCGGATCCATTTTGAACTCGACGTTCCAGCGTTTGCAAACGCAAATGCTCACTCGGTTTCAAACAATAAAAGGACAAATGCCACGGCGAGAGTCTGCTCGGCGCAACCACCCACTGGCCTGTGAGTCGGACATCATTGAGACGCTTCACATGAGACTCACGCTTCTGCAAATGAGTTTTGGGAAACATATTGAGCGGAAACACTGCTGCTTCTTTCCCGGCGAGGTAAAACACATGCTGTTATTGTTATTGTTTCCTTTGGACAAATGTTCTTGGAAAATATGAATTTAAAAATTTAGATGAGTTTTTCATTTATCTGGTTTTTTCATTTATCTGTAGATACTGGATGAAGTGTATCGTATTTTACACTACATTAAGGTGACGCCCAAACTCGCTCGGCCTTACAAAGTGACAGATGAACTCTTTGACCTCAGTACAATGGCAATGGAGTACTTCAAAGATTGTATTGAGCCAAGACTTCCTGAAATTCCTTATTTTGGCGCCGAGTTTTTGGATTTGGCTGGAACATTTTCATGTATGTCGTTGATATTTATTTTATCTGATCAGAGCATGTTTAATAAATTGTTATCGATCAAAGTGTATCACGTACACTTTTCCCGTTATCATAGTACAAGGACCGAACTTTTTTTTAAATCTCACTCCAGTTGAGTTTTTCATCATTACGATAAAAAAAAAGTTTGTGAATGCAGTGTATAACTTTTGGAATAATTAAATCAGTGGAAACATTTTTCAAAAAATTTTTAAAAATGACAAAAAGAAATTTTTGGTAAAAAAAAGGTTGAAAAAAAAAAAAAAAAAAAAACGTAGCACTTTAACAAACCAAAAAATTGAGCTTAAAAAATAATTTTCGTAAAATGAATTTTTGCGTGAATAAACCAAAATTCTACAAAAGCGCGATTTTTAATAATTAATTACTCAACTTGTATAAGTCGTTGAGATGTCTTCAAAGCCTTAAGTTATAGAATTTTTAAGTTCTGTAAAGTTTTTTTTTTTAAAGAGCTTAAGGACTGTACACACTTTTTTAAAAAACAATCTGCTGCACCCCTGCCACATCAGCAAGTGGCCCTCTACGCAAAATAAACGATGTGCTATGTTGTAGGAGTTTATTGGAAGATTTTGCCAATTATTTTTAATAAAACTGTAAAGTAAACCCGTCTAAATACACGTGTGTAAATATTAACTGAACGAAACGATTTTCCTTGATTGGCAGACACTTTTCCGAAGCACCAGTTCTTACATTTTCTCAATTATTTCGAAAAGTTGAGAGATTTCGTAAACAAAAAAAACTATAGTGGGCCAAACCCTACAATTAAAGCTTTAAAAGATATCTACGCGACTAATGGAAGTCGAGTGATCAATCATTAGAAAATCACGTTTTTTCGAGGTTTCTCTATTTATTTACGCTTACACAAAAATAAATTGTTCAAAAACCACTCTTCACAGTTCAAATTTTTCGGTTATTTTAACACTTCAAGTAGCCAAATTTTTTTAATTCCAAAAGTTATACACGGCACTCTCACTACTATCATTCTATAAATTGCGGTGAATAACTACTGGAATAAGATTTTAAAAAATCAATGATTTTTGGCTACAGCCCCTGTACTATCATCTAAGACGAATACAATTAATTAAGTTAATAATATAAATATTTTACCTGTGTTTCAACGTAGCACCGCTAAGCGTGACAGACGGTAAGGCCCGGTGCAGTGGTAGTGGTGGCGAGAGTTCACCCTCGCGTTCCGGCAACGACGAGCCCGGCAGTTGCTCTAGTGGCCTAGAGGTGACTCACTCCGCACCAGCTGTTGTACCACCTCAGTCCAATATGGTACTTCGCAAACGCATCCGCAAGATCAAGCAGGGAATGAAGCGCTACAACAGCCAGCTGAGCTTGATGCGCCGGGACCTCAGAAACTGCAAAGTTAAGATCGCCGACCAGCAGAAGCAAATCGTTGAGTACGCGACGAGGCTGGATGACAACGACAAAAAAAGCGAGGAGACTTCCAGGAAGTTCAGCACTCTTCTGCAGGTATTTTCGACGGTACTTATTTAACTCAACCGATTAAAATCCCGTCACTTCATCGTGAGACACCGCACCAGTTTTGAACGGAAAGAACAGTGAGCACAACGTCACCGTTAGACGGTAGAGCGTTGACTGACTACAGACAGAACGTGTCAATAGTCGTACAATACGCACTGACACATACTTCGGAACGACATACAAATATGACGTTGAATGTCAAACATATTTACATGATATACCTTAGTGAGAGTGCTCAGAAAAAAATTGTTAGTTTAAAATATAGTTTTAAATTATAGCTAAAAATGTGGTGAAAAATTTATTTGTATAATGTGTATTTTTAGCTACATCCAGCTGCATTTTGAGCTATACTTTTCATCTATATTTTCAACTAAAAATTATAACTATACATACAACCGGTAAAAAAGATTTTTTTCTTAAACGTTAATGTACACAAAATTATCAACTCTATCGGATGTTTTCATGTGAATATCAATACCTAAAAAGACGGGCTAAGCTTCGTTACAAATAATTTAAGTTAATACAATAAATTGTTGCTATTTCTGTAAATTATGAGAATTACGCTGAATTTCTCACTACATGTATTGTGCTGCTATTGTAACCGCTATTTTTGTGTACTTTAACGTGTGAGCAAATAAAATTTTTTACCGCTTACACGTACTGCACAGTTATACTTTTAGTTAAAAATACAGATAAAACGTATAGCTAACAATGTTGTTAAATACAACTGATAATACACATTATGCAATCGAATTTTCAGCTGGATTTTTATGTATACTTTTTAGATTTTTAGCTACACTAGTTACGTTAAGACGCGTTTCGCGCCATCCTAATCATCAATTGTGATTACAATACTCGTATAATTTTTTATCATAACTGTTGGCAATCTTTTTCGAGACAAAGTTATGTAAAGAATCGTTCAGTTGATTAAGTTTTTTCTATTGCCTTTGAATTTGATTTAGTTAACATATACTTTAATTAAATTAATTATTTTTACAGAGTATCAAAAAATGTATCATTATTTTTGATTATATCTATGAATACGTAAATGAATAGGATGAACTTATTCTGTTTTGTCTCAACGATTTAATGCAATTAATCTTCGAAACATCCCGCTAAACAATATACTCGACTCGTTTTCACCAATCACGTAACGAATAAAAAGCTTCTGTCACTTGAAAATCAATGTTTTAAGATAGTATTTTTAACTGTTGATTATTTTTACTTGGATAGGTGACTATGAGAGTCTCTCCGTTTGGCCTGGGCTGTTTATTTTCGAGAGTAGAGTAAGGTCGTTTGTCACACGGCGTATTCTGTAGGATCTTCCTGAAATTTTAACAGCATGTTTATTATGATGTTAAAAAGTCACATGTGAAATTTAAGACCGTTTTACTACACCGTTTATTTATATTAAATGTTTTGAAAACTTCAACTTAAGGGGGGTCTCCAGCGAGTAGTGTTACCAACCTGAAGATATAGTTGGGTGAGTTGGTGTCACTGCTGTAAGTACGTGATGCAATAAAAAAAGAAAAAAAAATTATTGCATTTGAAAATTCATCATCTTCTGTTAAATTTCATAAAAAATCAGATGTAAATAATCTTTGTAAGTATACATATAAAAAAAAAGCTTGATTATGTACAATTCCTTTGTGATTGTACGTAGTTAATTCCAATACTTGCATTGTAATTTTGAAATATACAAATACAGACTCGATCATTACTCTACGGAATATCTTGAATTTTTCCACTTCAAGTTACAAAGTAAAGATTTTTTCACGTTACTTCACAGGAGGTTGTGTATACTTTGCAAACTTTGAGAATAAATATCTTAAAAATTTCCACGGCGAGGAAGATAAATAAGGACACCATTGGAATCAGCGGGTTTTTACTTTTCAAAAAAATTTTAATTTTCCCCGCTAGAGCCCCCTCGACACGTGAAAATTGAATTCATACGAAAACGATCAGTTTAACTTGTCGAACTTTTTTTGTATGACAAAATTTCGTTTAAAATTTCATGTTAAATGTTATATTAAATTTTGTTAGAGGGTTTGATAAATTATTTTCTCTGTAAAATAAAAAAAAGCTTCAGGTACATGTGTATAGGAATACCCATTCATTAAAGACAATGAGCATTTTGTATGAAAAATTGTATTTGGTCTGTCTTGTATGATTTTAAAAAGTAATAGACAGTTTTTTTTTTTCATGAATTAAAAACTTTACATGATATAGCTCCTTGAAGATTCTCTATTTTTCATAGCTATAAATATACCCCTCGTGTATGTGATGTGTATTGATTTTTTACTATAACCTGACTGAAAATAAACATTTTTTCTTGAAACTTTCAGAAATACTTGGTTTTGGTATTATTTAAGCAAGGTTAAATTGTTAGGGAATTTTATGTAACCCTTTCTACATTATTTGGGGTTATATGTATGTTTGATAATTTTTTCTAAACGGTGTATCTGTAAAAGTTTAAAATCGTTTTTTATGCTTGTGGGCTCATTTTTTTCGTTCTTTACTGTAGAAAATTTATGAGTAATGTATACTTTACAATATCACGATTAAATGGTGATTTTTATAACTTTTAAAATACCATAATGTTTAGGTACTATATCTTTTTCAATTTTTGATTAAAAAAAAAGGAAGAAAAAATACGTGTCGATTATTTTTCAAAATTATATAAGACGGGCCAAATAGAATTTTTCCTGCAAAACCTAATTGCCGATATCGCCGCATTCTCGCTCCTTCCTCCTCGCCGCTCTCTAGTTTCCCTCAACTAACTGTAATCAACGTCTTTAATTGTTTCTCTTACGCTTCGTTAAAGTGATCGAGAGGTGTGTAAGAGTTAGTCCTGGTGTTTATGAGTACAAACCTGGTCAGAACTCAAACAATATACCGATTTTCGTAAGTTTGTTATTCACCCTTTACCCCATCGAGTAGTACATGAAGGAAAGCTCGACGAATTTCACTCTATGTATTTTTTTTTTTTTTTTTTTTTTTCATATTATAGTGCTCTACGTTCAGCTCCTGTAATAAGGGCACTACTATGGGCACTTAGCACTTGGGAGAAGGAAGGAAAGAGGGATGGAAAGCCTCTCATTACTGGGAGGGGGGTAGGGGGAAATTAGGCAATTATGTGGCGAGGAGGTCGCCTAAACCCCCCTCCTCAAGGAGCATTGCGTGATGATAAAGCTCATGTGAAAATTCACATAAGTATTTGCCCGAAAAAGTCGTACTGGCTGGGAATCGAACCGCAGTCTCCCGCGTGCCGACCCACGACCTGGCCGATAAAGCCATCACGCTCTCATATATGTTATATAAATAAATTTGTATTTTGGTGGGGGTAACAGAAAGTGACCGAAGAGCCCATGGGGAAATAAAAATGTGTAATTTCAAGATTTTTTCTGGCACAGTGCACGGTCGACAACACAATTTTCAATGTTTCATCATGTTTGGATTATTGAATGTAGATGTAATTGGATTTATTATAAGGGTATTCTTGTGACATAAGGGTAACATGATCACATGACTCGACGAAACGGTCATTAATAGTTATTCACGTCATACTCGCGTCACTTTATAAACTACTTAAGTTCTTTCTACTTCGACACTACGCAAACAAATTTGTGTTACTGGCTTTAGAGTGGTGTTTATTTTCTCATGAATATTAGTGTAACCTTTTGCTTCCAAATTATGTATTACGAGCCTCTACGATTGTTACAGTTATTGTGATTTTTACATTTTAACATTTATCATACTTATGAGTCAGCAAAATTGTATTATTTGACATTTACTGTGCATTGAGTTCTCAAAAGTCCTCAAAATTACGCACTTTTCTGGCATCAAATGGCACCATTCACACACGAAGCGAATATCAGTAATATCATCTTTTCATTCGCCTTTGTCTTTTCTTTGTTTAGGAACTCAACAAATGCAAAACAGAGCTGCAATACTGGCGGTCAAAGTCCCCAGCAATACCGGTGTGCTTTGGCTGCGGGCAATCGATACCGTTACCAACGGAGGACCTGCAGGCCCTGGCGAATCAGGGCGTCCTGTCCAACGTTGAGGCAAGCGCTGGTGGAGATCTCGACTTCATTCCTATCGCCGACATGGCAGTGCGCAGTCCAACAGAGCAAGAGGTATCCTTGGGCATACACGCGACACCAGCTCAGCAGTTATTACAGCCACAACTCCAGCAGCCGGTTCAGTTGCTGCAGTCTTGCAGTGGTATCAGCAGCAACAGTAGTGGAGGTAGTGGCAGCAGTGCTAGCAGCACGGCCATGCCCGTGCTCGAGCCAATGGCACCTCCAAAAGCTCCGTCACCACTGTCTGCAGCTCCTTCTATTTCCTCCTCTTCCTCCTCCAATTCCTTGTCTTTGACCTCCTCGAAACGAAAATCTAGCTTAATCACTGGTAGTCTGGATGAAGATGCGGCTAGGAAGCCGCGCCGGGCTCTTAAAGCCCGCCAAGCTAAACGTTCGAAAATGATTTAAGGCTCTTCTAAAACTTATTTTTCTTTAGACTCCTTTGTTCTCCCGAACGGCGTTACGATCGTCATATCATCTGTCCCGCGCACTTCTAGACGTCTTATTACATCTTCCTTTTGATTTTGCACTCGCGCGTTAATGTCACGCTCTGTCTTGACGTTCTCATAGAAACTAGTGAGTTGGTAAGCTCAGCTCAGAGGGCACAAAAGGGAAGAGCCATATGTTTTCGTACATATTAAAAAGCAGTGAATAGCAAATATTTTGCATGTACGTAGGTATACTTACTATAATAATTCTCACTGGTTGAAGGATCATCCCTCTTGCGCCTTCTGAGCCAAGTTTGACAATTCGCCAGTCCCATGTACATCGTGAGCGAATAAAATCGCACGAGTCATCGTAACGGTAACGCATATTCTAATAAATAGCCGCTTTTTACTTTCCTTTTCCTCCCTCGTCCCTTAGATTATTTTAACTTATAACTATAATGTGCATCTAGCTAAATGAGCGTTAGCATCCTTGGACTAGCACCTCGCTACGCTTCATAGATCTTCTCGTCACTTCTGTGCCTCATCTGTCACCTAGTACTGTCGAGGCGTGCCGTCTTCACCCTTCCCTCTTGTCCTTAAGGAGTAAAGTATCGCTCATTAACTCTCTAACTATTCGGCAGTCTCTTATCGCAATCTTAACGACACCGAGCGGATGATCCTAGGAAAAAAAAGTACAAAATTCTTTCCCGATCGTCTATCGTGTTCTATCTTTCGAGCAACGAAAATTTTCATCTTGACTTTAATTTGAGCATTAGTGTGTAGTGCCGCTTGTGCCCGAGCGTGTACAGAACGTGCCTCACGGAAACAAGCGAGTTTCCTTCAAACTTCTGCTAACTTTTTGATTTTTCTTGTATGTATTTCAGGTCTTTTAATCGGCTTATGTATAATTGCGGAATCCTTTTTTTAAAATTAAGTTTAGTTTATTTACCATATGTATTTAACTATAGGTATAATTTAATTTTGGAGTGCTATCAATTGATGGAATTGAATTTATTATTTGACGAAAAAGTCAATGTTTTGTTTTAAGGATGAAGATGAACTTGTTACAACTAGTTCAATTATCATTCTTTCTTCACCTTTAAAATTTTTATGTAATNTAAGCTAAACGTAATAAAAATATCAAAAAAACAACACATTTTAATTTTGATGAAGAAAAAGAGCTAACTATAATTTAAATGAAAAACTTTCATGTGTACTGAAAATTTTTTGATTGTTTATTTAATACGAATCAGCATACAATTATCAATAGAAAAAAAATCTTGGAATACAATTTACGGACCAAATTTTTCCGCTAAGCAATAACGTATACGTGAAAAGCTGGCGTATTTTTGCAAAACTTTGAGCTTACATATTGCTATTGTTATTAAACTTTTAAAGATAAAAACTATACTAGAAATTCATATACTTAATAGGAGCGTTCTGTGATTTCGAATTCTCAATCGATTTAAATTTGTTTGAATGACATTATTATTTTCTCACTTAACAATTAAATTTAAGTAGTTTTTAAAGATTTTGCTTGTATAGTAGAACTCTTGACGTTTTATTTTTCTACTATGTTTTCTTTTGTGATTAAAGTAAAAATTACAATTAAAAGAAATATCAGGATTTAGTTAATAGGGTAGCAATGAATGTACAGTTATCAAATCAGTCATTCGTTAATTAAGGCTCGCTCTGTACAAGCACTCGTGGCTCGGTGGTAAAAAGAGCAGCGATATTCGCACGACGGGAAACTATGACAAAGCAGACAATGATTCGTCTTATATTTTTAAAATGCCTCTTCAGAGAGACAAACCCTGTTCGACGGATACTCTAAATGAAATAATGTAACGTGTCGGTCATCCGTTTCGAGCGTGGGCGTAAGGCACATTGTCGAATACACAGCACGCGTACATATATATATATGGTTCTTGCGAAAGAATGAGCAATGAAAAAGCCTGTGAAATTTATGTATGCGTGTACGTGCGTGCGTCTGTGCACAAACGGGCGTGCGTAGAATTAAATAAAATAAGCGATTAATTAATTGAATACATAAAATAAGTAATATTGTCAAATGAATAAAACTTGTTAAAATATAATCTATAGTTAGAAATTTCAGTATGGCGTTATTTTTATGCAACGTACAATTAATGATCATTCCTCAATTGACATAAGAAAATATATGTACAAGTAGCTAGCTAAACAAAGTACATCAAAGTAGTCTCTGTTAAAAAAATTATGTCCAATAAATTACGAGCACAAATATAGTATACTAGCGGCCCCCCCTCTCGGCTTCGCCTGAGACTTACTAAATAAAACACAAAAGTGTGTTGACATGTAATGTGAAACGTTTTCAGTTAAGAATTTTACACATATTCCTGACACAGCTCAGAACAAAAATCTTTTTATTAAAAAACATATTTTTTCGGAATCCATATAGTTTGTTTAGTCAAATAATAAGGTGTAAGAAATCAAAAAAATAATTATGCTGAAAAGTACCGTGCGTTCTTTATGCCATAAAATAATCGATGTGTATAAAAAGTTGATGATTTACAGTTTCTTCTGTGTAATTCACGAAAAGGGCTATTTTTTAAAGCTGTTAAGATTTTAAACCCCCAAAAAATTTAAATTAAAAAAAAATTCTTTTCTCTTATCTCACAACTTTATTACCAGAGCAACAAAGTCCTGGACCTTAAACCCTACATTTTTTGTTGCCACAAAAATACAAATACATTTTCTACTTATTTAAAAATCTGAATTAGGATCTTTACAGATTTCAGAGATTGCTGTGAGGGTAAAATGAAAAGCTAATCTCTCACGTAATGGATTCTTTATTTGTCGATTTTGACGCTGCTGTTCCAATCTCGATAAATTTTCTGCGTCAGTTTCTTGACGCCTAAGTAAAATTGTATTTATTAGATACACTTGAAGTTTTTCTTCCGATTCAGCCTCTTGCGACTTTTGGCATGCTTAAAATTTTTGTGACCCCCAAAAGCTGTTTTCTGTCAACTTTGTTGAGTTCTAATATATTTGTTGGCAAGGTAGTTCGACGTCCGATGGCCCTAAAAAAGACCAGTGAGCTTCTTAAGTTAACTCTTTCTTGACTGCAGTTAACAGCAATTGTAACTGCCTGGATACCTAAGGGTGATCTTCTGTGGCTTGCTGTTGAAGACCCAGACTGATTGAGAGGAAAATTACAGAGTCCGAAGCTTTGGAGCTAGTTGTAAAGATCTTTCCCACGTCTCCTGGTATAACGTCGAAGACGTTGGTATCTAAAGCATCTTTTTTATTTGCAGATTCAGTTGTTTCGGTAATCTTAGGTGGGGAGATTGGTTAGTGATACTTGCCCAGTGGAGGCTGTCCCGTCGGCTCAAGTTTTTTTTCCTTCATAGCTGTTATAGGTTTGCCCAGCACAGACCTTGGAGAGAATCGGTGATTCCTGTTTGAATGTTTAGAGTCAAGAGGGTAATAAGGTCGTTGGTCACCGGGTTTCTCAGCCTTGCGAAGAACAACTCTGCTCGTGACGACTGCCAGTGAATGGCTGACTTGGTTTAATAGTGGCTGTCTTTAGTTAATATAGTCTTTTAGTCGACGAATCGCTTCCGGAAACGGAATGGCCTCTAAAAAGAATCGATGAGATCTATGGTTAAGTAGGGAACGTAAATACTTATAATGACCCTAAAAGGCGCCAGTGGTGAAACTTCCAGGCTATTCTTCATTAATATTCCTAATGAAAAAGAGCTGGCTACGCGTAGCTAGCCTCTTACCCTGTACGGAAGTCTCTATGTACGGAGACTGTGATGGAGGGAGGTATGCCGCTGATTAAAGAATATCTGGTCTTCGGGTCGTTCCCCGGGTAACCAATCGCTCATCGTTAGACGGGAATATGTGGGTATGTCGTTGGGGATACGACCACTGAGAAGTTGGCAGTTGTGGCTGCCCGTACTCTTCAGGGCTGTCTTCCCTGCAGGCTTACATTTGTAGCCAAAAATTCTCTGACGGCACCAGGTGGGATACCTAGTGGAACTGCCACACAACTCTGAAGAGTTGGAGCAGGTCGTGCTGTGGCTAGATATGTCTCCTGATATTACGCTAGAGACGCCATCGGTTAGAATTATTTTTTATTGGTGGCACTCGTCGAGAGTCGAGATTCAGGGTGAATGTAGACTTATGAGATCCCTTTTCCCTTAGAGAGGAGTGTCGTCCGTAACCAGGATACCCAGCTGCAAGACTGTCATCAGCATCCTCTATACAGCTCGTTGAATTGCCGACGCACGATTGGCGAAAGGCCGAAACGCTCCGGCGTATTAGAACCACACTTATTTAATTCTGTTGCAGATAGCCTCGATTTTATGTCGACGCCACCTAGCGGATCCTACTGAACTAAAGTGAAAAGCTGGCGTATTTTTGCAAAACTTTGAGCTTACATATTGCTATTGTTATTAAACTTTTAAAGATAAAAACTATACTAGAACCATCTAGTAAGTGTCATGAATTAGTGTGCAAAATTTTAGCAAAATCGGTTCAGTAGTTTTCGTGGTTAGCTATTACGGTTTTAGCGACTTTGCTTTCCATATTAGTAAGATAAGATTACACAACTAGTGAGCGAAGTTAAGAAAGTCGCAGATTTCACGTGAACAAACGTGGATAACGTGAAATCTAGAACATTTCTTAACCTCCGAACGTGGCGCGTACACCTACTATTTTTCTGCATACCCTTGCCAAAAGAGCTTTTCTGCATACCCCCGCTGAAATTGCTTTATATCTGCCCTGCTCCAAAAAAGATAATCAGCTGTTTCGACGAGTGTATGCAGAAAAACAGCATATGATACGCATCACGTTAAGAGGTTAAGAAATGCGTTAGATTTCATGTTGATTTCTAACCTCGCTCACTATGCGCGCACTATGAAATATTCTATATTCTCTGGTAATATACTATTTCTTACAATAGTTTTTTTTTTTAATTTACTATTATTGCTACTCAAGAAATACTCCTACCTTATTTTTTTCGTCTGATTTTCCTGATTTTAAATTAATGTTTATTCTACTCTTATATTAGATTTTATATTTACCGGAAAAGTCTCGTGTTAAGAGTATTTACTTATTTTTTTATTTTTTATTTAATTTAACAGTAAACCTTTATTCCAAAATATAGTTTTAGCTTGATATTATCTCAATTTCTCTGTTGACTGAGCTACTTACAATACTCTTTTCAATATGAGTTATGCACGTACCTAGTATTTTTGTTTATCCAATCTGTAATCTGTCATAAAAAATTGATTAAAATTTTTGTGGCATACATGTGTCTCCGGGCCCGAAGTACTTTTCTGCCATAGGGCCCAAAGTGTTTTTCTGGGTGCAAAGTGTGCCCACGGGCGCAAAATTGCACTTTGCGCCCTCGGTGAGAAAAACATTATACGCAACTCGGTTACCAACATACAACAATCGCGCTCTTCGGGCGCTCATGTTAGTACTTTGTGCCCTAGTGACCATTATTATGTACCATTAAAATATCTCCGAAGCAAAACTCTACTAAATCATGAGAAGTTGATATTTGTTGAGTTGGACATAACTAGTGCATAATTTCGAAAAATCCTAATCTCCGCACTGAGTTTATATTTAATGCTTCTACGAGAGCTAGCTGCTTACGTAAGTATTGGGATTACTCACCATAATTGTATATAACATGAGTTTTCAATCTTTGAATACATCAGTTAACGGATCACCGTATAATAATGATAAATTTCTTTCTAAAAAAATAAGTAGGTACGGTCAGTAACAACTGATCTTATTGCAGAGAGAGATACAAGTCAATTCGATTGTTATATTCAATAATAAAACTTAAGTTAGCATTACAATTGCTTGTGAAGAAAACTATGTAAAATTTACGTAACAATTCGGTGATTGATACATGTAGATACATTTCTTGAAAACCAAAAATTACGGGAGGGTACACTTTGAAACATCTATTTTCACATAAAGAATAAAAAGGTAAAAAAAGTTGGCAAACAGTGAAAATCTTATTTTCCGCCCTTGGGTGGTTTTGGGAGGCTGTTACTTCCTCGGGCGAAAAAGCAGTTTTCTGGAACTCGTTCGAAAACTCTCCTTTACGAACCTCGTTACGTCCCTCGCCTTCGGCTCGGGCCGCAAACCTCTCGGTTCGCAAACAGAAACTTTTCAAACTCGTAGGAAAACTACCATTTATCTGGCGTTTTTTTAATTATTCTGATTTTTACAGTGAAGCACCATTAAATTTTTTCGCTGAATTAAATTTTGATCTAAACTTTAATCAACTCTAAGATTTAAGATCGTCATAGTTTTTAATTTCGAAGATCTCCATCCCCCACAAAGTTTGTTTTTTCCATAGGTATCTTTAGGGTGATAAATTTTCAGTAGAGAATCAATGTATGTTAAGGGTAATAGGATAATATCTTATTAAAAATATTTCCAAGTAGTTTAATTGTTGAAGGAAGTGTAGTAAATCTTAATAATTATTACAAATCAAGTTAAATATGTCTAATTTTTTTTGTTTATGTCTTAAATAAATAGCTAATGAAAGTTAATTAAGTACCTAATCCACCTTGAGATTACGATTTATCTTGTTTCCAATTTCATTAGTTCCATGGGAGAACTTATCAATTGATATTCAAAAGTTTTATAGGAAAGTTTATGTAAATATTACCTTAGTTTCATAATTAGGTATACATTTACGTAGCCTTTTCATAATAGTATAATATGTAACATTAATTCTTTCCATTTCATTTCAAATATTATTATTGCAAGTAAAGTTTTTTTTGTATGTTTTAATATTGCATTGGTTGTTGTCAAATCAAATTTTTCCAAATATTTTTTATTCCTTGTGTGCAAGTGTTATTGTTATATCCTTGTTCTTTTTTTCGTAATTACCTTTCTTTTCCCCAAGTATGCGAGTCGTTCGTGCGGGCCCCTTGCAGTGTTCCCCTCAGACGATTCGATCATCCATTTTTTCCTGTACTATTTAAATAACTAAAATAATTTTTTCAGTCTCAAGTACCATGTTAATAGCAAAAAATGCTTTATTTATAATTTTATGAAAGCAAAAAAAATTTATCGTATGAAATGCATATAATATACGTGTGAGCATAATACATATTAATTTTTAATGTGTTCACTTGAAAGCATTCCACGAAATGAATTGATATTCGAGGAAAATAGCAATACGTACGAAATACAAGCATGTGAAGATAACAAATTTTTTTTTATAAAGTTTATACTGAACACCTTAAGAAATTATATCAGTTAAAGATACATTATTGTTGAAATAATCGCTTGTAGCAGATCGTTGGTCCATAAGAGGCTGTGTATTCTTGTTAGTTAGTATCGACATATTTTCCTCCGACGGTGGCGCTATTTCAAATTACTCCACGAAGCGATGTGAACAAAAATACCCTATGGCGTAAATAAATTAGGCGTGTAGAGTAAAACAAATATTGGATTGTTAAGTAAAAACACCTTATATTTTTTACATACTGTTGAATTATTATTAAATCACATTAAAAAACTCAGCACACTTTAATGAAAGGTGATAAAAAGTTATTTTGTAAGCTAAACGTAATAAAAATATCAAAAAAACAACACATTTTAATTTTGATGAAGAAAAAGAGCTAACTATAATTTAAATGAAAAACTTTCATGTGTACTGAAAATTTTTTGATTGTTTATTTAATACGAATCAGCATACAATTATCAATAGAAAAAAAATCTTGGAATACAATTTACGGACCAAATTTTTCCGCTAAGCAATAACTAGAGAATATAAAAAATTTTTTTTCTTTCAAAAACGTTTCATACTTACATTCTGTTGTTTAACGAGCGCTACAAAAATATACAAGTTACTTTATCAGTTTTTTGCACAACCTGCGTTCACTTTCTTTTTATACATGGACATACCTCATAACTATTTCACGCGGGAATTTCATAAAAGTATGTTTGTATATTTGAAAAATTTCCGGACGTATATGCACACACACACATATAAACACTTAAATATGAAATTTACAAGTTGACACCAAGTAAAATAAATCTTTTGCTAAAATACGTACATAGACACTTTGGCAAGATTACCAACATGCAATTTCACGAGTTTGCGTGTTGTCGATCGCTTCGCTAGATTTTACACCCAAATACATATATACACATATACGAGCTGTAAATAAAACGGGGTACTAGCCCGCTGACGTAGATTTAGACTCTTGTACTTAATTTGATACGAGAAAAGTTTTCGTGCGCGTGGAGCTCATTCATTATGCATACCCCTTTTTTCTCAAGCGAATACTTTTTGTTACATGCCATATTACGATTTCTCACTCTTTTTATTTGCCTTTCTTGCATTTCTAGAAAAGAAGACAAATGAGTGAAAATTCAAGCTGGCGCAAAATGTAGATTTAATGAATGCTGCGAATATGAAAAATATATATTCCAATCACGCGACCATATAAGTAAGGCTGTCTTTTGTAACCCCGAATCTCACGCACGAAATTTCGCTCACGCATGGGTGATGGAAAAGATTATCGAACAATATACAAAAAAAATACAAAATTTTATGATAAGATTTCAATGCTGTACCCAAGCGCTTGAAAACATTAGTTTTGTATTTGTTGCTCAGGCACATACACCTTTGTATCCAAATCGTTGGATTTAGAATTTTTTCTTGGATGCCAATTTTTTTGTTGGGCTATTATTTGCAAGCCCCTGACTTCCAGCCCTTTAAAATGATTGTCTTGATTACAGCTACGCGGCGTCATCGGCTGAACCGATCGTGGTATTGGACTTAAAGGCTGACGGCTGCGACGAGGTGGTAAACTCTCTGCAGTCTTTGTTGACCTGCAAAAATAGTATTATGCAAGGTAGAATCATGATAAAAAAAAAAAAACTAACTCTTATTATTTTAACAATTTTACACAAGTTTTGAATATTCAATCGTAAAAACTGTAGTGTTTTGGTCATAATTGAAAAAAAAGTTTATTTTCTACTGTATTTATTACCTTCTTTTACTACTTGGCAATCTAGAAGTGTCAATTGGAGTGAGCTTAACGTTTTTCGGCCAAATTGTAGGGCACACTTGCGTGTTCCACGAAGGCTGTACATGCGGTACTGCTACCAAGGGCGTATTTCCTGTCAGAGATAACTTTCGTCTTGAGTTTTCTCGCCTTGAACCTGAAGGTAACAATTAAGGAGTATTTTCAGCACAGGAAAGATCGCAAGTGGCAGATAACCATAACACGTATAGTTCAACTTAAACGTAGATGGTAAAATATACTCGCTGAATAACAACTAATGGTAGCAAAACGTGAAATAACGGTTTTTTTTTTTTTGTATTTTCACAAAAAATAATTGAAAAATTAATTCTTCGAATTAAATGAAGCAGTTATGAATACAAAAGTAAGAAGAGACTTACCAGAGTGAATCGTATTTGAAGCGTCGCCGTCTTCACCTACGAAAAGAATCGGAGTCTTGCGAAGGGTTGAAAAACTTTCTCTCGTAGTGACGACAAAAGGCACCGGACTCACAATGATTCGCTCATTGAAAACCGTGCCCAGTTTACTCCTTCGCGATTGCAAGTCCTCTGTTTCTTTTCCCGTTGCTTGTTCTTCTTTTAATATGCCTGTACTCTCAACATTGTGGTAATAATTTTTGCTGATGAGAGGATTTTTGCCTGTGGTCGTTGGCGCTGGTGCGATTTTTAAGCATTCATTAAAATTTTCATTTAAATCGTC